AATCTGAAGGGTATAAGGTATTTCTCCCGCCTTCTTGGCATGCCTTCGTGGTGTGGTGGTCTGCACGCCAGGCGCGCATTCCAGAGGTCGGTGGTTCGATTCCCGGGGAAGGCGTTGCTCATTTTTCATCTTTCCTGCTTCCAAAATACCTAATGCCTCTACAATGGCGCCCTAACTAAAAGGGTGTTGGAGGATGATTCTCCTCACCCAGGATTTGGCGATTGGGTCCCCTAAACCCACATTCGCCCTTTAAGAAGGGGGAGTATATAAGGTATTTTTCCCGCCTTCTTTGCATACCTTTGTGGTGTGGTGGTCTGCTCGCTCAGCGCGTAATTAATAGGTCCGTGGTTCGATTCCCGGCAAAGGCGCTGCTAATTTTTCATCTCTCTTGCTTCCAAAATACTTAATGTTTCTACAAAGGTTTCAGATTTTAAATTACGTCCAAAGGAGCGTTTTTTTTAACATTTTGTTTGTTACCTTTATTTACTAAATATCATGTTCTTCGCACATAAACGATAAAATTCAGTTCAACAGCAATATCGCATAATAATTTTAAATTGAGGCCATGTTTAGAATTTCCGATACGGAGTCTCACGTGCTAGAGATAAAAATGTTTTTTCTGTACAGCGTTGCCATTGTTCGCTTTGAAATCCTTGAATCAAAACTTCGTTAAAGCTATTACAAATTATGAAATAGATAATAAAACAAATTCCATATTTCAAATTTCGGCTTCCAGAAGCCCATATTAGCAGTAGGATTTCGTCATTCAAAATTGGATGGCTCTAGGTACCGTTGTTTTATCACAGTGCCAGAAATATGCATACATTTATGCAGATTCTTCCTTATTTAATTTCTCCAAACGTATAATAAAGAGCGATAATATTTGGTGGCAAGTGTTTGAAAAGTTAAAAGGACATTCAGAGTGCTTCAAGGCAAAATCTCAAAACGAAATCATCATATTTTAGAGTTCATTTGGACTTATAAAAAACTGAATTTGAAATATTATTTTTTTTCTTTCTTTTACGAAGTAAGCTAAGTATCGTAATCGCGAAAGATTTCGGTTATCATATTTCAACGAAAATATCTACCTTGATGTCTCTCGAATCCATTTGAACGATATTTTGGGGTAACATCTGTAAGTAAAGACATAATAAGTTACTCTTTTTATCAAAAGGGATTGCAAGATGGATTTAAAATGAATTCCCAAGAGATGTTTTCCTTGACGTCTGTACGTGCGTACGTATGTATATCGTATAACTCGAAAACGAATAGCCTTAGAACTTTGGAATTTTATATATCGGACTACCATAACGTGTAGTTGTGAACCTCCCTTTTTCTTTACGAACGGCCTCACATAATATGCTGCCACATAATATATTGCCTCTGAGTTACCCAGGTCGATTATCTCAGTTTTTTATTCTTTTACTAGCAGCTTCGCTGCCAGCCTTCCTCTGGTTTTTAAAAGTACCGGAAAAATGACTGAAGAGAACACCAAACGTTAAATTTAAAAACTGCGTAGAAGTTTACTCTGCAAAACAACTTCATAAAAAAGTTACTACGTATAACAAAATTACAATGAAATAAGCAATATCCCTTAATACAAATATTAATTATCCTAATAAAAAAATTAACGAACGTTTCGTTGAAGAAAAAAAAAATCATACAAAACTTTTCAATATCTTACAAACAGTGAAATAAGCAGAAAATAGCATGAAAGCAACTCAAAAAACATAAAATTACGCGCAGAATTTTACTCTGCAGAACAACTTTATCAAAAACCAAAAATCACTAAAAATGTATTATATATATATATATATATAAATGACAATGAAATATGCCAATCTCTTAAAAACAGTGACATAAGAAATACGATGAAAAATGGTTGCCAAACTCACATTTCTAAAAGAAATGAAACTATTCAAAATGATGCGATTTCATCAAAAGTCCATCAACAACAATAAGACAGGAAAATTGTTGCCAAAATCACATTTTTAAAGATGTAAGAAGTGTACTCGGAAGCTTCATTTAAAACATTTCTTTAAAATACAAAATATTATCATTTTTCCAAAATTCTTTTCGTAAAAGCAGTCGCAAGGATGAAAGTTTAACATGTTCAAAAATCAAAGAAAAGTAAACTGTACAATTTTTAAAATAAACCTTTTTAGAAAAAATCCCGTTGAAAAGGTGTAAACTCCCATTGTTAAATAAATTCGTATTGAATCGATTTATTGAAACATGAAATTTGTTTTAAGTTCGTAAAATAGCCAAGTGCCTACGTTTCATGACGATGAGAAGATGGAGTGTGTAGAGAAAAATCTCGCTTTCCTATAGCCCATTATGTCTCAAAATGACGCGATTTCGTCACAAAACATAAAATTAAAACAATTTGAACTGGAATTTCGAAAAAATCGCTTCCAGGTGCGCTGGCTCTTGTCTAGATGCACCTATGTACCAAATTTCGTAGCCGTCGGTCTATTAACTTATGCGCAGGGCGAAAGAAAGACAGACAGACTCTTTCTTTTATTATGTGTAGAGATGTTCGTTAATTGTGCATTTTTAGTTTTGAAAGTGATTGAATTATATTATTTTTATATTCCAGTTAATGTTTCATGCCTTTAGTTAATCTGCATGCAATAGCTTGTAGAGTTATTGCGTTAATTTGAAGCAGGTGACACAAAACATGAGCAACGGCTCCTGCCGGGATTGGAACGTGGACCTCGCAAATACGTGCCGAGTGTGCTACCGTTACACAACGAAGGCATGCTAAAAGGAAGGAGAAAATATTTTATAAGCTTTAGAATTATCAAGAATTTAAAAGTTTAAGTGCTGCTAAGCCTAAGCAAATTTCAAATGTAAACAAAAGGCCGTTTTGTTTACATTCGAAACAAATGTTTTTCAAATGTTTATCAAGTGTTTCAAACATAAACAAAAGGCCTTTTGTTTTTATTTGGTTTTTAACATTTTTATTGCAATGTGTTCAATAAAATGGGAAAATAATAGCATGTCAAATTCCGTTGATACAGGCACATACATATGGACATCAGCAGCATTTTCATGAAAAGAATAACGAATGTTATGCATAATCATAAACTTAGCTATTAAAAGGAAAATTAAACTTAGCTATTAAAGAAAATTAGCTATTAAAAGGAAATGCTTGAAATAAAAATATACTTAATGGCGCAAGAATGGCTCACCATAATTCACCACAAATAATCGTATGTACTAATCAACTAAGAATGCTGGATTGGAATCATTTTAAAATCAAGCATTCTCTGCAGAAATTGGGCTCCATGTCAACATTTAAAATTACTTATTGAAGTTGAATATTCTTACGAAGTGAGAAAGCGAGAGAGAAATAGACGTCATATTCTGGAAAAAGAGTTTTCAAGAAAGATTCGAATACAGGAAATCCCGTTAGAAAGAATACAAAATGTCGACGTTACAATAAATTAGAATTTCGAATTGTATTCTAGGTTTTTCAATGTGGAAAAGTAAATTTATTGTAGAATTAGCTAATGAAGTCGATCAATATGGCGAAAAGCCAAATTTGGTAGAATATCAGTTGTCATTTCAAGACCAATTCAAAATGTCTTCAAAAAGTAGTTTCAACATTGATAAAAAATCTGATCTTGACACCGCATGACTTCGTTGTAGAGCCTATTAAATTATACACATTTTTGCTGCACTTCATTTACATACATTTCCTCGAATTTTATTAGAGTTATATTTCAAATTCAATCAAATCTGTTCTCACTTTGCGGAAAGGCAAAAATACATAAATACTCAAATCGTCTGCCTTAAATATTGTTAAATAAAGAAAATCCTAAAGCGCCAGATGCAGTTAAAAACAGTTGAAAAAACACTTTTGCAATCCAAGTTAGAGTTTTTGAGAAAGAACAAGTAATTCGGGCAGCGGACAGGAAGACAAAACTTTCGGTGTACAAAACTGAAAGTTAACCTTTTGATCCCACTGGGAAAAAAGTCCAAGCGGCAGAAGGTGAACCAAGTGACCTTAATCCACTGCTCTACTAAGAATGTGAAATTTTATTAAATCGTGGCTTCGTTGGCTACTTTGAAATTGCTGATAATTCTACAACTATTGCTTGCAGATTAACGTAAACATTAACCGGAACATAAGAATATAATTCAATCACTTTTAAAGCAAAAAAAAATTGCACAATTTATCAAAGAATAAAAAAAACCTAAGCTCGCCAAGATCGGTAACAGAATGTTTACAGTTACATGAGAGTCATACGTACGTACGTACGTACAGGCGTCACGAAACAATCACTTCTGAATCCATTTTAAAATCATTTCACAATCAGTTTTCGGAAAACCAGTGCTTTAATCTGTCCGTACGTAAAGTTGTCAGGCAAAAATATCGTTCAATTGGATTTGAGAGCAGTCGAAATGGATATTTTCGTTGAAATATGATACTCAAAATTTTTCGGGATTATAATAGTTTCTTGACTTTGTGCAAGAAAGTAAAACGCTAAACTGTATTTTTGAAAGAATTGCTTCGAGCTCCATGACGACCTCTCTCAAATCTATGGACTAAACTTGGTGATATTTTTGGGCCTTTACATTCTTACGCTGTGCGACACACACAGACACATATACACAATAATTATTTCTTTATTATTATATATGTATAACAAAATAAACTTTTTATAATTAATAAACTGAAATGTGGAGTAAATGAGGAGCGAATTCACAGAGAAATTACAGCTAAGAAAACGGAAGAAAAGAAGAATGAGCAGAAAATAAAGAACAACGACATTTTTAGCAGTGAAATTAAAATATTAACTATAGCATTTTAGTATTAACATTACATACTAATATCTTATTGTTTCAGAATAGTACTATATTACATTGTCGGAATTATTATATAATATTTCATAATTATATATATTATAGTTCAGTGATATATTACAGTTTCGGAATGTATTCCAATCTAAAAATTAAATAAATTTTTAAATTAATTAAATTTTCTTTCATAGATGGCAAGATCAAGCCCGAACACTGTGTATCTACGAAACTTGACGTTAAAAAGTGAAGGCCAATATACATGCCAAGTGTCTGCGGATGAACCGTACTTCGGGTGTGTACAGGTCCACAGAGACGTCGTAGTTTACAGTAAGTATATTTAACTATTTGCTCAGAAACTTGGTTCATGCAGCAGGAAATATTCAATGTTTTCCCAGCATCTCCTATTTCAGGAAAAGCAGCATTGAGAAATTTAACGTAAGTTTTAACGCGAAACGAGATTTTCGACACTTTAAATATTCCAAATGAAATACACATTATTTTGAATAAAACTCTATTTTCGAAGTGTTTTATGTATTTATAAACTAAATCACTATTACGATAAATCTGGTTTGAATATATTGTTACGAAATGTACAGTCGCGGTAAGATAGCTTCACTGCAAAGCACCAGAGTACAGCTCCCGACTCTGTTCGGTCGTTCTCGGAACTCCATGTACTCTCGAGACTCTCCTCGACGCCACACAGAGCACGGCTCCCGACTCTTCGGTTCAGTCGTTCCATTAGCTCAACACACTCTCTCGACGATGCACTAACCGCAATACACTACGAGACTCTTTCAGTGCACTCGACGACCCACTCGGCACTCGTTGCCTGACTGTCAACTCTATCGACTCCGCAGGAATTGACTCGCTAGACGAGACACCAACTCGATACTTACTATCTCGCACTCGCACTCTAGACGAGGCACACTAACTGACTGCGGACTAGCAGGGTTTTTATAGCTTTCGGCTTGTGTTCGAAAACATTCTGGGCTAACCCGGTAAGAATTCGTTCCAGAAGGTTCTCCATCCGTCCATGGCATATCGCCCATTTTGTCGCCAAATGGGCGATTTCACGCCAAATATGGCAACCATACCTTCCCTTGGAATTTTATAGCAACCCTAAAACTGCTTTGCGGGGAAGCCATCTTACCGCGCCTGTACATTTTGTAACAATATGAATAAAATTACAAAGTGGGTTTGCAGAGTTTTAGACCTAAATTCGTACACAATAGAAAATTGGAAGAAAAAAACATTCATACTGCTTAGCCTTCAATATGCAAATCTTTAACAGAAATCTGTTATTCTACAGATTATTTAGGTAATGTGCAGATTAACTAGGGTGATCCGTTGAAGTGACGAAAATTGTTTCATTTCTCCTATTACCTAGGTAATCTGCGCATTTCCTACTAGGCACTCGTTCATCTACACAATACCTACTAGGCATTCGTTAAAGTGAAAATAAGATATTTGCTGGACTAACAGCAACGTTCCTGTACCTTTAAGTTGATTTTATTTATTTATTTATATCAATGTTCCGTTTTCTAAATAAGATGGCTTGCAAATTTTGTTTGACTTTTTATTATTAATATTTGGTGTGTTTATTTTTATGTCCTTTGCACATACATCACATAAAACTCGATTCAACAACACAATTGCAAAATATTTAAAAACACCATATATATATTAATTATATTTATTTAAAGTAATGCGCTGCCAAATCCCGTTTCGAGACTAAATATCCCGTTCAGTTAATCCCCTTTTAGGCTAATTGTGTATTTGGTAATATATGTAAAAATGTGCGTTTATAAACGCAGCTTACTCTTTTCATTTGCAGAAGGCATGGATAATTAATTACGTGTTGACGAAAAGAGACCGTTATTGATAAGTTATTGATAAGATAAATAGAATGTTAAGATATTGTACAGTCATTTAACCTCGAGTCTTCCTCTCATGATGAATTCACTACAGTTGATCCTTAGTTAACTCTGACAGCCATATTATGGTTAAAATTAATCAGCAAAGTTGAAGAATTTTAAACACAGTGTACTTCAAGAGAGAGATAAAGTGAGGGACCATTAGCTGGTGTTATACGAATACTGATGAGCTAAGAACGAGCCTTTGATGGTCGGTGGATGATATATTCTATGAATATAAGAGAAGTATATGCGTGGTCATTCCTGAGCATCGCCGGCTAGTCTAGCATGATTTAATCATTGTCAATTTCAATATTGATTTCGGGTTATCATTAGAGACTGCATCCAGTACATATGTTTTGCTATCTCGATACCTTTACGAATCATCTGTGAATTCAGCAAGAAATAAATGGCAGTTCTTATTTATGTACTCTGAAGTTTAGAGCAGCGGTCGTCAACCCTTAGAACTTCACGAACTATTACATATACGAGTATGATTTTATATTTGGCGGACCACTAATATGAATTAAAAATAAGGTAAATATATTTATACATTATACAATAATAATCAGCACACTACACATATTTCTTTCACATTGAAAAACTATGTGTAACCTGCAAAAATCTTACCTTCTTGTACAGAAAGCTTCACATTTCCATGTCAGTGAAAAGGAACTTCACAAAAAGCAAGAACAAACCGGCAAACGCAAGGCAATGTTAATACAGTGATATCGTTATGCAGCCAATTTTTAATTATTGTAAACATAATAATCATCGCTTACTCAGCAATGGCGCTATCAATCAATAGTTAGACAAAACAGAAACGGAAACTTCCAGTGATGTAATTATAAACAAGAATGTCATAATTAGCTAAGGAGGTCAATCATGAATTTGTCGTATTCCTATTTCATTTAATCTAAAATGCATTGGCAGACTGGTTGATTATACATTGATGGATTATATATTAATGGATTGATGAACAATTCTTTCTCGATAAAGGTACCTGTAATTAAACTTCACTGCTGAAGTACTACAGATGCAAAGAATATAGTTTTACAGGCTGAAGATGCAACTTTGGTTATAATAGGGGGACCGGAAAGTATTGTCGCTTTCTTACATTAAATTCAAACGAATACATTTTTAACTAGTTTTGGTTGATCTTTACATTATGGTAACTTGGCGTTTTTTTGGCAAAAAATTTGGCGACCAACTCTCCTACAGCAACCCTCTATTTTTTTTTCCCGCCGCCATTTTGTCTTCACGAAGTAAAGACATGTTTCTTTTCTTTTTATCTACTGAACACTTCTTCCAACAATCTACTAGCCGAATTACACTTATGCTAGAAATTTTATCTAACAAAACTGCTTAATCATGACAAATATTCACTGCAAAATTGGGAAAAAGTGCACAATACCATACTCCTTACGCGTTTTTCAAAATAACACATACACATAAACCATGTACACGCCGACTTATTTTTACTTAAAAAAACATCCCAGAATTGCACAAAAAATGGCATTGCGCACACTCTTCACTATATCCATGTACACTGCTTTTTTCTCATAAATTAGAAAAATTTCACGAAAATACATGACAATTTTCTCAATCTTTAAACCCGGTAAAAAGAACATATATGAAATTACCTGATCGCGAAAAAGTATTTACCCTTTCCAAATATGAACATTTCCACATATAAAATAAATAAAATATCCAAAAAACTTTTACCTCTAAATCATCTATTACATTATACACGTCACCAACGAATTCATACCGCAACCATTACAAATACTTAGTGTCAGATATTTAAATTATTTCCATGCACGTTTACTTCAACTAAAACGTATACCAAATTCCTACAAACATAAAATTCACAAAATAACTATCATTTAATTAAAAATATAATTAAATTCAAAAACACTACTTAAAATATAAATGAGCACATACATTAAATTAATACATACATAAATACCCATTTCGAATTCACTTTAGTTACGGCCATGGGATCCAAAAATTCACGAACACTGTTTCACACAACACAGAATAAAGCCAAATACAAAATTTCCAGATTTTTTCCCGATTTCCCCCCTTTTCCGATTAAAGAACCGTAATTCGTCCATTAATATCACATGACATATCCCATGATCTCTCATTTCCCTCACACAAAATAATGCGTAATCGGAACTGAGTACTGCTCACATTATTACCAAAGTGCCAGGTAGTAACCTTTATCGCCTCCAAAATGTCGCCAAACTACCAGTTACCATATTGTAAAGATCAACCCTAGTTTTATTTTTAATCATAAATAATCCCCTCGTTATCAAACCTTTTGCCATCTATGTGAGATTTTAATCCCGGCCGATAAAAATCAATTGGTGTTTGAGTAAATATCTCGAGAGGACATCTTGGAATCATCCATTTTCAAATTTGCCATTAAAATGTGGGGGGATCCGAATAAATGGAAATCCAATGCTGCGATATCGGTCGAGTATGGGGGGTGAGTATGGCAGTACCTCCCACCCCCAATTCATTAATTTTTTCCAGTGTTCGTCTTGCACAGTGCGGTCTTGCATTGTCGTGCTGCAGAATGACGCCTTTTCTGTTGACAATTGATATTTTTCGATTAAAGATTGGTTCACTCCATCCAATTGTTCACAATAAAGGTCTGCGTTAACAGTTTGTTCAGGTTTCAGAAATTTAAAATGAAAAATTCCGCGAATACTCTACCAACCACCCAGAAGCTCTTTTTCGGGATATAAACGCTTTGTAACCCCTATTAAAACTGCCTTTTGAGTTTTGGATTGTCGTATAGGATTTAATTTGTTTTTGTTTCCACTAATCAAACGATCAAAAAACGGTTCTGTACGGTTCCGTTTAAGCAATACGTTGCATGTGATGGATAGGTTGGCTTTGTTCTTTTCGGACAGATTATGGGGGGACTCTTTGATTATTTTTCCATTCTGCTTTAAATGTTCTTGGATGGTCGACCAAGGTTGGTTAAGTGTGTTTGACATGGATTTGCTTCCACTTTTGCCCTTAGCATGTTGTCAACATGCGCAGAAACGACAATACTTTCCGGTCCCCCTGTAAGGATCTTAAGTTTTACTAACGTTTATTTTATTTTAAATCTTTACTATCACTTCTTATTTTCTACTTCCGGCCAGAATTATAAGCGTTAAGGTTTTTATGCAAAGTTTGTCTAGCGAACGTCAAGTATTTAAGTTGTGGCTTTTTGCCAAGCGAGAGAGAGGAAGCAGTGAGTCAAAGCAGGCCGCTTACCTTAGAAGTTACGCAGTTGCTGTTTGCCTTCCAGGCCAGAGGTTTTAATCCTCTTGATAAATTTTAAAACGCATTGTAGTGTTCACAGTTCTCTGTACTACATACGCTTCCTGTTAATATAAGGCCAATCTTCCACGT